ACATACAAAAACAAACGATAAAGTTATACACGCAGCTACACCTACATTTTCTAAAAACTTTCTTTCAATTGAATAAATGCAAACAAAACATCAAATAAAGTAGATAATTTTTATATAAAGCCTACACATACGAACGAAAAATAAAAATATGTACAGTCAATCATACTCCCTACGGACAATTTTGTTGTAAGTATTCTGTATCTACATTTATGCTAATAATAAATAATGAACATAACATAAATATAAAGCTCTATCATAACTCTTTTTATTATTTACTTTTTAGTTAATCTATCACTTACTTTTAGTGTCATCATTATAAAATTAACTGTCGTAGCATTGAAAAAAAATCTGATGTGATCAGCACATAACCGACCGCATTGTGTATTGTCTAGTTGAGTAAAAGTGTTAACAGAATATTAAAAAAATGTCTGTTAAGTACTTCTTTCCAATTTTAAGAACATTTGTAAGCTTATAGATAACATATCTAGAAAAATGTAAATTTGGCTCTTAGTACAGTTTCGTTTTGTGCTATCTGAATTCCCTGAAATGCCCACCAGTTAGTTTTGGTAATGCCCAGAACTCAAATATCAAATTTCATGAAATCCCATCAATTCGTTCCGTAGATATAGTGAAAAATGTAAAATCGGCCCGCTAAAAAGTGCAGTTCCCGAGGCCTGATATATCCCAAAAGCTGATCAATCCGTGCCATGGTGGAAATAAACTTACATATAAAATTTCATCAAAATCGGTTCAGCAGAACTTGAGATACACGCGTGCACACACAGACCGACAGGCCGACAGGTTGCTAAAAATAGTTTATTTACACTTCCCTACTATGGAGAAGTACATTCTCACCGAAAACTCGATATGCAAAATTTGTTGCCATCACATAACCTACCTATTGTTTACACAATACTGTCGGTAAAAATGAATGATACAGCGTTCATTTATTTTTTCTCTAGAGAAAACTAGGTTTCATTCATTTTTCCTTTAACTTTTGTAACAATAATGACAGGAACCATAATTGCATACATCTTACCTATGTCTTTTATTTAAGCAGAAATTCGAACTAAAGAATGATGTATAAATTAATTTGGCATGCTTTTTTGGAAAAATCGCGTTTACGGTAACACTGTTATTTTAATTATGTACTTACTAAAACATATTTGAATTGGATTGAATCTAAATAAAGAAATAGTCGCCACAAAAAGGGACTTTAAATACACATACATATGGATACATACATATATAAGTATTCATATGTAAGTACATACTTATGAATAATAAAATGTACTAAATAATTATTATAATAAATTTTCAAAAATCATAGAAGTAATATAAAAAATAAGCAAGCCAGGATATAAGACATAATATACGCATTAAATTTTCGTAGAAATTTGAAAATAATGTATAAAGCATTCGAAATTGAAAAATAAAATTGCAGAATTGTTTTATAGTTTAAACATTAACTGCAATAAAAAATTTGTAAAACGTTAAAAATGATGACGCTGCCATAAAATAGAAAAGCTAAAGCTTGATATAAAATATTGAAACTCATTGATGTTAATTCAATACATTTTGCGATTTGGAATGTGTAAAAAGTTTTGAAGAATTGTAGACTAAGTGAGAATAAAAGTAGAGCAATCACAAGTTTTATGCATGTGCTTACATAAAATGTAAGTAAGTTAGTTATTTCCGTTTATAATTTTGTAATTCATTTAACCAATAAATTACCAAAAAAAATTCAAATCAATTTCTAAGATATGTACAATAGGTACATACTCATAATGGCTGCAAATGATTGCATCAGTTTACAGAACAACGCATTTACATTATTTAAAGAATAAAAGCGTCATAATAAAAATGTCGAGTTAGAACAAGAAAAATTGAGAAAAAAAGGTGTGTACTTATCTAATCATACACACAACTTGTAAGTATTTACATACATATGTTTCTCTATATTGGTGTTAAGAAAAAATTTACGACTGAAATTTACCAGTCAATCAGCATGTCAACAGACCTCTTTAACGGTTGCAAATAAATCTTTTATCTTAAAACATTAGGCCGTTATTAATACCCTTATTATGATCGGCGAAGCGAATGGCTGGGCGAGTCGAATGGACTAGTACTAGACGAATTGAATAACATTTTAAATTATGATCGACGAATGCTTTCATTCCCCAGATCCAAAATGTTGCTACCGCAAGGCGTCAGAAAACCGAAAATAATGAGGTTAACACCACCAAATAGCACACTTAAATTATATATGTACATTGTTTTTTTTTTTTTGCAAAAACAATTGAATTTTCTATTTAGCAATGTCGGGGTTGTTGTTCATTACTTTACTTACATACATATATGCTCGAATTGTTTCTGTTTCGTTTTTTTCACGTTTAAATTAATACTAAACAATCAATATTTTTTACAATAATTTGTAGAATTTTATGAACTTACTTTACACATAGTTTAGGTTTTTTCATTATATCACTATAAATGCTATAATATCCAATAAAAAAAACACTTACATATGAATTATTTTGATTTTTAGTTTCATTCTCCAAGCTTGTCTGTGTGACATATTTGAATGTTTATTCGCCTAAAATTTAGGCGAATGCGCTAATCATAATACCAAAAATTTATATTAATTTATAATGCTTTTGAAAAATCGTGCCGACATCAAATAGAATTACTGAACCTGTTTGTTTTTTACTGTTTACCTGAAACAGTAAAATTACCAAAATAAGAGAAAAAAAGACAAAATATTTATATAAATTGAAATTGATGGCTGAGTTGTTGCGTATTGGACATATAACCTAGGGAGTGAGGGTTCGATTCCAGTTTGAGTCATTTTTTTATAGAAATAAATGTACAATATAAAGTAGATACTCGAAAATGTTTATCAACTTTGTTGAAAAACATTTCTAATATATCGACAATATAATATGTATGTATATAATGATTTTTTTATAGCGCAGTTGAATCAGCTGTACCATATGTTTTTATAAAATTTTTAAAAATAGTTTGAATTATATATCGCGTGATTATTATGATGTATTGAAAATGTTTTTAAATTTGTTATTATTTCACTTACTTAAAGAAAGCAAAAAAAAATTTAAACATTCGACAGACCGCTTGATGCATCGCTTTCGACAACAAACGGTCGATAATTTATTTTAGTTAGTTTTATTAAACAATAGATAATTATATCACTTAAGAGTAAATTTATATAACTGAAAGTATTCTAAGTACGCTTTGTTGTTAACAATATCTGTGAAAAACAAAAATTTCTGTAAATTCTACTCTCATGCAAGCTGTTCCTAATAGAAGTATACTTACATTGCTGTATATAAATAAAAGAATAATTTTTTAAAAAAGAATAAAAATGAAAGAGTTTTCTTGATTTAAATACCTTTGAAGTTTCAATTCACAAAATCATTTTGTGATAATAATTAAAATAGGAATATAATTAAGGAAATAAATTAATAATGAGAACAAATTTTAAATTTATATTTAATTTTACTTTATATTATTTATTTCCTAAGTATGAAATGTTTCAATGATATTACATATTATTATACATATAGCTAATCACGAAAAATTTCCAATTAATAAAAATAAATATATAAATTTTTATATAAATATGCTATAAAAAATTTGAAATTCTTTGGTATAAATTTGAGTTACAATTTTAATTGTTTGTATTCAATTTTTTACAAAAATATTGAAGATAATCTTCCTTTTTTTTGTAAATAATTTTACCTAGCTAAATACATATATCAGTGAATATATATATATATATATATACATATAGTTATAAATATTTAAAAAAAAAACATAAAAGGTACATTAATTTAAAAAAAAAGTCCATTTATGTAAATAATGATATATAAAAGAGTTTTATAATAATCTTATAAAATTAAAAAACAAAAATAAGCACAACGCAATGAGATTGTGTAAAAATAATATTATGTCTTTAATAAATTTAAAATAAAAAACACGTCTTTCGAAAAATATTTTGTAAATCTTTTAAAAGTAAAAAACAAATAAATAATTTTTTTTTATAATAAAGTGTGCGTCAAATAAGCATTATAATAACGAATATAAATTATTAATAACTTTAAAGATTCAAATTGCTATACCATTTAATATAAATTATTTATATGCTTTAAATATTTTCTTTTTAGTGTATAAAATTCGAATTATTAATTGAATAATGTTAAAAAAAAAGTCTTTTTAACTATTGATTTCAATATTTTCTAATAACATCAAATTTTAATTTTATAACACTATTTAAATCAAATTTTAAAATTAAGTCCTAAACTTATAAAATTTTCAGTCACATTAAACATTTATATCATCAGGTAAATTAAAATAACAAGAATGATTAAAGTTATAATTAGCAACAAACCAAATATTTTGTGTTTATTGGACAATCATAAAATTGATTATTTGGGTTTTGTTAAATTTAATATACCGCATTTTTTAATTAAATTTATTTAATAATCCATTTTTTAATCAAACTTGTATTTTTTATAACAATTTTTGGATTGATATAATAAAAAATGTGCAATATTATTAGAAAACTATATGATAAATAAGAATGCAAATGTCTTTGTTTGAACAATAATATAATAAAATTACCATAAAACGATAGGGGAGAGCACACTTATTAAGTTTTATATTCAGATGTTACAGAATTATTATAAGTTTTAGACCATTTCGAATTAAAAATGTTTAATAAATATATGTTTTTGTAATATACATTTATTCAAATTATATCGCGTATTTATCTAAACTTTAAAGAAGACTAACTGTATTATCTTGTTTATAATTTTATGAATACGAAATATTAATACATTTGTATTTTTTGAGTTTTACGAGTATGTATAAATTGAAAGCGAATAATACTTAGATTAAACAAAGCTATATATCGATAACATGTACAAAATTTATATTTGTTTCTTTTTATGCTTATATTATTTCTTTAATATTGCTTTATATTAATGTTTTAACTTTTTTCATTATATTAAGAAGAAAAATATCAATCAAATTTGAAATTATCTAATTTAAATTTTAACATTTATTATAGTACGTCTCTTAAATATTATTATTGGTTCGAAACTAGTTAATTGAATTCGAAACGATCTGTGCTTTTTTAAATTTTCTATTTCTAATATAGAACTAAATATTTTCAGCTAAACTATGACTAGTTTCAATTAAAAAAATATTTTACATTATATATGTATTAAAATTTTTGTAATATTAGAAAATCATCATTCTGCTCTATAATTTATTTTTGATTTATTGAATAGAACAAACGGCAGATGATCCAGAATATGAATGATTAAGGCGTCGCTTCATACCTTCTACATAAACATCACGAATAAATAGGCCAGCTGCTAATGGAATGCTAAAATAAATGAAATAAATATAACCCAATTTCTTTTTTTTTAAATATTACCATTAATATTGCAGAAATTACTTTTCTTAATACTTACGAGTCAATGCCTGGTTTTATGGTATTACGAAATAATGCCCAAACTGGTTTGTGATCTGATGTAATAATTGATGGCACAGAGTCGTATGCAACACATACTAACGGTGGCTCACTGTGATGATGAGAAGACAGAAATGTACTAGGAACAACGCTCCCCCTCCTAAGCGCCATACTTGTTTGTCGGTATTTATATAAAATACGATCAGTATAAGCAGGTGCTCTCTGCTTGCTTGAAGTGTCAAATTGTTGAGTACCGGGGTCATACTAAACAAAATATTAAAATTTATTAACAATGTCATAAGATTTTATATAAAAAATAAATATTTTATATTATGTAAATACTTTATATGTTGGTGGAAATGTAATATTAGCTTCCATGAAACCTTTAAAAGCTGCACCATCAGATAAAACAGATTTTAATTGATCAGTATGCATATAGCCATGTGGTAGATGTGATGGCAACGGAAATTTCGTTGTTTCAATCCATTGTAATAATTTTTCTCGTGGTTCACTTAAACGAAAATTTAAATCACCGCACCAAAAAACACTATCAAAGTTTTGTGTAACATCTTTATTTTTATGTCTCATTTTAAGATTTCTTGGTAAATCAAGTGCATGAATAATACGTTTCACATCTTGTACTCTTTCCTTAACTTTCTGCTGATGAGCAGTTAAATGAGACGTTACAAATAACATTGATGTTCCAAATAAACAAAATGAAATCGCAACTGCTCCTTTTGTCCGGAAAGCTGTGCCAGGCCGAACGGATAAATTTGCTTCTTCTGGCACAGAACAAAACCAAATTAAGTCTCTTCGAAGAAATACTGCTAAGTGCAGTGTACCTAAAGTAGCTGCATGAAATAATACATGGGAGGGACCAAGAGTTTCCTGTAATGTTACTTCCCATTCAAAACGCTCTGGACAAGATTCTTGAGTGCCAATAGCAATTAAGTCTGGAACATTTTCTACACTTGCTGGTAAAACAAAATCATTCATTTGCCTGAAATTATTTTATTTATAACTTACATTAAGATCAAACTATTTATTTAAATTTTATATATTTTAAAATAATTAAAATTTCTCATAATAATTTTACATATTTTAAAATAATTAAATTTTCTCATTTTTGTCAAATTAATGATTTTGATTCTTTTACAAAAGAAATTACTTTGGGGGGCTTTGTCCATTCATGTTCCACGTTCCGACAAAAATAGTTATCTCCTTGCTTGGTAGGACTCTAGCTAATTCTGTGGCTCCTAATAATGAACAGGTTGCTAATCTATTAGCCAAAAAATTTCTAAAAATTAAAAGCACTTATTATAAGCTGAAAAATAAATATATTTGTTTTTCTTTCTCCAATACCTTTCCCTAGCTTTTTCGGTCGGAATCAAGTTAAGAACTTGAGCTGCCATTAAAGCCTGTCTCGCTAAATCGCTACTTCCAGACTGATTTGGTCTTTGAAATGGTTGAAATGGTTGAATACGATCAAACGACAAGGAACGACTTTCTTGACAAACTCTATTTGGAAATTCATTATTGGACCCAGAAATATCTGGCGATGATAAATGTTGTTCAGCAAAAGCTGATTTATCCGAAATATTATCATTTTCCGTATCTTCAAAGTTTTTATTATTATTTTCTTTTTGGGTTGATTTTGTCAAATAAGCTTCATTAACAATTGGTTTACCAGGTGGTAGAAGTTTTAATCGTAATCTTGATCTGCATGCAGTTATGGCTATCGCTCTAGGTTGACCTTCGTAAATACTTTGGGTGCTATGAATAGATTGATTTGATGGTGAATTTTGTAAACGAAATGAATCGGATTTTGGAGGATTTATCGGTGTTTCTGGTGCACTGTTTGTTTCTGAAACCTGAGCAAGCGGTGCTTTGCCATTATTTCCTTCAGATGTTAAATTTAATACCATATTTTCACGTACAGGGGTTTTGGAAGGTTCAGCAAGAACATCGGGAATAGAATTGTATCGTACACTTACTGGTGGCGAAGATGGTTTATGTTCAGCTGTTTTACAACATAAACTAAATTGATGACTAAGACGATTATGTAAATTTATAATATTTGAAGACTTTACACGTAAACTAACATTTGGACGTAATTCATTATTGTATGTATTTTCAGGATTTGAATCAGTTTTATTGCCAGTTGAATTTTTTACAAATACATTATTGTTATTATTATTGTTACTTTTTTTAATATTGTTGTTGTTATTATATTTAGTTTTATGATTATTATCTTCTTCTAATTTATGATTACAATTTTCTGTATTATTAACTAATGATTGACATTTAGTTTTAGGTGAACATCTTGCAAATGATGTATCAGGCTTTGATTTTGGCTTTTGTATACTGTAATTTCCATAATTAACGCACGAATCAGAAAGCTCTCCATCAGATAGAGGATGAGGTTCCACTAAAAATATTAAACAAAGTGTAAGTTTTTTTTATTTAGTTTGTATTGTTCTTGCACATTCAAATGTTTTTTTTTAAATTCTAACCTTGTCAGTCATAGAGGATCGTGCGAAACTGATGTTAAAGCTCTTGGAGGGTGACTCCTTAAAGTTTTTAAGGAAAAGAATTGTTTGTGTGCGAGAGTGATTTCTATGGGTAGTTTTGGTGGGTAAACGAAAATCAGGTTGAAAAAACTCTGTATGTTTTTGAGATAATTTGAGACTGTTAGATTAAAAATTTTTTGTTTAATCATTGATATTATCGTTATGTAGGCCTTTTGTGTAATTGAGAAAAAATGTTGCAAACAACACGTTAATCAGCTTGAACATCCACGAAGCTGTTATAGATATTTTTCGCAGAATACTCATGAATAACAATTTTTTTCCCGAGAGCTTTAATACCAGTTCTGAACCACTCTATATGTGTAGTAATTGCTAATTGGTAATTACTTTCAATTAGTACTTGGTATTGGCACTTGTAAATTAAAAATTAAATTAGTATTAGTATTAGTTTTGTTTAAAACATTATAGCAAATATATAATGAAAATTTAAGCAAAAATTGTAAATAAGTATGTATTATAAGTACATACATACATACATAGTATTTACTTGTTTATTTTTAATAAACAAAAAATTTTACTTTCTGTAAGTACACATTATACTATTTAATAATAAAAGAAACATACTCGTAATATATGAAATATATACGCAATTTACAGATACATATTAAGTATAGAATTTTGCAGATATGTATAGGCACTAACCTACCTAACATTTAAATACGTAGGTACCTACATAATACACAAATCTGTCTAACTAGAAGCAAAAAGAAAATGCATAAATACTTAAATAAGTTAAGGTGAATAATTGCTATGTAATATAGCACAAAAATAAATTCATGAAAGAAACTAAAATGATATTTTTATTTTAATTGTGAGGTCATATTATACGTCACAATTTACAGAATAATATTATTGGCATTATACTAGGTTATAAAAAATATTAAAAAGTTTTAAATAAAATTCTTTTGCAATAAGTAAATGATTTTATCCAATCTGCGTATTTTTTTCAGTTTTTTATCAATAGTATTCTATATTGAAAATCAATTAAATTTACCTTTAGTTGATCTTTTATACCATAAACCACTAAATAAGCCTGAAGAACTTTTACTTTTAGGAGAATTGTTTACTGGCAAAGCATCACTTTCACTAAGCATCTTGTTGATAAATAATGAGTTCGTAATATTGTTTGTATATAATTAAAATAATTTAGTTATACCTACTTATAAACTATTCTAATAAATGTCTAAAATAGGTACTAATTATATTCAAATTTTTATGTATGTATGTATTTTATTTTAAATATATATATCACAAATTGTGGACTAGATATGTTACTAAATCAGATGCTTAATTATGTATTAATTATAATATATAAATGTACATGTTTATGTACATTATTATTTAATAAAATAAAAATCATGATCATTCTCTATTATACATATGTTTAAATATATGTATGTTATATATTATATACTTATGATGATACATATAATTAAAGTTCATAGGTGAAAGAATTTATGATTTTCATTTCAAATATAACTATTTATACTTTAGTATTATTTAATTCAAGCATACATTTTTTGATTTATTTTACTTTAATAATTATTAACATTCTATATTAAATTAAAAAAAAAATAATTTATGTAACAATTTTTGAATATACTATACGTATGTAGCACGCTGTGTACTTTTTTATATCTATACATTTTTTTTTTGTTTCATAAAAATTATCCTAATTCAAGAAGGCCACCAAGCATTTCCAATTTAAGTTAAGCGAAATATCTTCTAAAATCCCTTGAATATATTTACTTTTATAATAATATCACTTATCTAATTTCATAATTTATTTAATATTAATCATGGAATTAAAACTTTATACATATGTATGCATTTCATTATTTTTATAGCATATTATTTTATTAAATTTTATTTTTTGTATTTTTATAATTTTTATACATTTTCGGCTTTGCAGGAAACCGAAAATAATAATTGAGCAAATATCGATTAGTTATTAAAATGGTTTTTTTTTATTACTATTAATATTATTATTATAAGTGTATTGTATTTTAAAGTCACCAATCCAAATCACAGCGCAAAACTTTTAAAACACATTGTCGTACCGTACCACCAGAGACCGCACAAATTCTATACAATTTCTTTTGTATTTTAATTTTTTTAAGTTGAGTAGAACAATAAGAAAAAACTAAACAAAAAACAAAAAAAAAAATAAAAAAAATCTATTATTATCTACAAGTACGCGGTCACTTAAATTTAAAGTTTTTTCGGTATTTTTTATTTTCTTTTTTCTAATTAATCACATTCTTAAGTATTCTATTTTCATTTAGGGAAGTGAAACAAAAAAGAACAAAAACAACAAATACAAACCTCAAACAATTGACATTAAACTTGGGAGCACAACAAAATTAAATAAAAACAAATTTCTCTTGACAATCAGCTGGTTATTCAACCCAATAAACGTATTAACTTTTAAATATCATTCTAATATAAAATACTGAACGCCATCTATCGGTAAATATTCCACAAAAATTTACATATATCAAGAATGAAAGTATAAAAATTTATAGCTTATAAAAGTAGTCAATTTTTTTTAACTAAATGTTCTATTGTGTATCAAAAACTGCATTTTTACAATGTGAAACGTATCATTTGCTTAGAATTATAAGGTTCTATCATCCAAAAATAATGAAGTAGAAATATTAATTAGAACCCAAGCCAATGGGTTTGAGTTCTATGAGCCTACGAGAAGCTGTAAGAACGGAATCATGCACTAAGATGTTGCAATTTCCCTAATAAAATTGAAATAAAATTTTACAATTTACATACATATAACTATAGTTTCTTTCAAAAAAGCTTTTATGTGTCAAATTGAACCTTATACCTATTTACCACGTGAATTAAACTAAAAATCTAATGTATTCCTTTAAAAATAGAACTTTAAATTATTGAAACTTTGAAAAGTTTTTTTTAAATCTTTTTAATTTTTTAATTTTGTGTTTTTTTTTGGATTATTTATTTTTTTAATTATTTGTATTATATATTTAATGTTAAAACAAATTATTTGGTTAATAATGTTTTTTCATTATTGAATTCGAACTCCGTAAAATATATTAAAACCAAAACTTTAGAATCTATTATGTAATAAAATTGCCACCCTTTTTAATCTTGTAGACTCCGCTCCATATTACAATTTCATTTGCAAATAACAGAAAAAGAGCAACCTCCCAGAGCACACAAGTCTCACAAGACCAAAACAAGCTAAGTTCAACTGAAATTAACTAATTTAGCGAGTTTTTTCACCAAGAAATTTTCTGACATTGCCCATTAATTTTAACGCATTCTTTGTAAAATCAATTACTTTTAATCAAGTTACTTTAAAAAAAAAGAGTCGAGACTAATTATTTTTCAAAATTTTAAGAAGCAAAAAACAATATGTAGGTAATTAAAAAAATTCCTTAATATATTTTGAAGTTTAGCAAAACTAAATTCTACAAACTCTTTTCAATAACAGAATCAATTTTCATATTAGTGTAATAAAGAATTTATTAATCAACATAATTATGTTGCAAACAACAAGTATCTGTATTGCTGATTGTTAAATTTAATACTGACTACTTCTATATTAAATGCCATGTATTGTGTTAATACTCGTAATACATACACATAGTAAAATTTTTTGTATCTGAACAATCGGAAAAGAATGTTTAGTTACAGTAGATTATTTTTGAATTATAAAGAGTTTTGGATGATGTTATTTTGCCAACGACCATACCACGTTGAACACACCGGTTCTCGTCTGATCACCGAAGTTAAGCAACGTCGGGCGCGGTTAGTACTTAGATGGGGGACCGCTTGGGAACACCGCGTGTTGTTGGCATCAGTCAACTTTTTGTATTTTTTTTACAAACTTTAAGAAAAATATTATGAATAACGTTTTGTATGAATTTATTCCTATGCAACTAATTTTTTTATGAGGATTTTGTTGTGGATTTATATATTGCTACTGTTGCTCCTTCGTTTATTAGTATGATGACGAGAAATCCAATTAAATTCTGTTGAGTCTTACAACGCAATGAAAAATTTTTTTGATAGAATTTTTTTAATTACTGAAAAACAATATGTAGGTAATTAAAAAAATCCTTAATATATTTTGAAGTTTAGCAAAACTAAATTCTACAAATTCTTTTCAATAACAAAATCAATTTTCATATTAGTGTAATAAAGAAATTATTAATCATCATAATTATGTTGCAAACAACAAGTATCTGTATTGCTGATTGTTAAATTTAATACTGACTACTTCTATATTAAATGCCATGTATTGTGTTAATACTCGTAATACATATACATAGTAAAATTTTTTGTATCTGAACAATCGGAAAAGAATGTTTAGTTACAGTAGATTATTTTTGGATTATAAAGAGTTTTGGATGATGTTATTTTGCCAACGACCATACCACGTTGAACACACCGGTTCTCGTCTGATCACCGAAGTTAAGCAACGTCAGGCGCGGTTAGTACTTAGATGGGGGACCGCTTGGGAACACCGCGTGTTGTTGGCATCAGTCAACTTTTTGCATTTTTTTTACAAACCTTAACAAAAATATTATGAATAACGTTTTGTATGAATTTATTCCTATGCAACTAATTTTTTTATGAGGATTTATTGTGGATTTATATACTCGTATTACTACTGTTGCTCCTTCGTTTATTAGTATGATGACGAGAAATCCAATTAAATTCTGTTGAGTCTTACAACGCAATGAAAAATTTTTTTGATAGAATTTTTTTAATTACTGGAAAACAATATGTAGGTAATTAAAAAAATCCTTAATATATTTTGAAGTTTAGCAAAACTAAATTCTACAAATTCTTTTCAATAACAAAATCAATTTTCATATTAGTGTAATAAAGAAATTATTAATCATCATAATTATGTTGCAAACAACAAGTATCTGTATTGCTGATTGTTAAATTTAATACTGACTACTTCTATATTAAATGCCATGTATTGTGTTAATAATACATACACATAGTAAAATTTTTTGTATCTGAACAATCGGAAAAGAATGTTTAGTTACAGTAGATTATTTTTGGATTATAAAGAGTTTTGGATGATGTTATTTTGCCAACGACCATACCACGTTGAACACACCGGTTCTCGTCTGATCACCGAAGTTAAGCAACGTCGGGCGCGGTTAGTACTTAGATGGGGGACCGCTTGGGAACACCGCGTGTTGTTGGCATCAGTCAACTTTTTGCATTTTTTTTACAAACCTTAACAAAAATTATTATGAATAACGTTTTATATGAATTTATTCCTATGCAACTAATTTTTTTATGAGGATTTATTGTGGATTTATATATTACTACTGTTGCTCCTTCGTTTATTAGTATGATGACGAGAAATCCAATTAAATTCTGTTGAGTCTTACAACTCAATGAAAAATTTTTTTGATAGAATTTTTTTAATTACTGAAAAACAATATGTAGGTAATTAAAAAAAATCCTTAATATATTTTGAAGTTTAGCAAAACTAAATTCTACAAACTCTTTTCAATAACAAAATCAATTTTCATATTAGTGTAATAAAGAAATTATTAATCATCATAATTATGTTGCAAACAACAAGTATCTGTATTGCTGATTGTTAAATTTACTACTGACTACTTCTATATTAAATGCCATGTATTGTGTTAATACTCGTAATACATACACATAGTAAAATTTTTTGTATCTGAACAATCGGAAAAGAATGTTTAGTTACAGTAGATTATTTTTGAATTATAAAGAGTTTTGGATGATGTTATTTTGCCAACGACCATACCACGTTGAACACACCGGTTCTCGTCTGATCACCGAAGTTAAGCAACGTCGGGCGCGGTTAGTACTTAGATGGGGGACCGCTTGGGAACACCGCGTGTTGTTGGCATCAGTCAACTTTTTGCATTTTTTTTACAAACTTTAATAAAAATATTATGAATAACGTTTTGTATGAATTTATTCCTATGCAACTAATTTTTTTATGAGGATTTATTGTGGATTTATGTATTACTACTGTTGCTCCTTCGTTTATTAGTATGATGACGAGAAATCCAATTAAATTCTGTTGAGTCTTACAACTCAATGAAAAATTTTTTTGATAGAATTTTTTTAATTACTGAAAAACAATATGTAGGTAATTAAAAAAAATCCTTAATATATTTTGAAGTTTAGCAAAACTAAATTCTACAAACTCTTTTCAACAACAAAATCAATTTTCATATTAGTGTAATA